TACAGCTCAGTTTTAGGTTTTAATAAAAAGGAACAGGCCTAGAAGTCAAGGACAGATGAAAGACTTGATAAACTGAGCATTAGGGCTTCTCTGTAGCTGCAAGTGACATTATTTGAGCAGCGGAACATGTGAAATAAATTTATTAATCAAATACTTTTGCAAAGGGGTTTTAAATTCTCACCCAACCGGAACTATGTACAGCTATTTAGTCAAAACTGTCAGTCTTTCCTTATTGTACTTATTTTTTTCCCCACAGACAGGAACTTCATGATTATTGAGAGCACAAACTCTAAATTTGATAGAATTGTAATAATGCAAAACAGCAAACAATTTGCATATTTCCATAAACAGTTTAGTGCATTGCATTTTTGAAGGCTACTTTAAAATTTTTACATCTGAACCTTTACAAATGGCTACAGGTTATCAAAGAAAAGGCGGAAAACTGTAAGTCTCCGTGAGCAACAAAGGACCTCTGCCCGTTGGAAATATAGGTAAAAGTTCACTCCACACTGAAAGGAAAAGAAAAAATGTTTCAGCAGTGGAGTCTTCTTCAAGTCACACACCTTTCCAGCTCCCTGCTTGAGCTTCTTTTGTAAATACTGCCACCAAGAACTGAAGAAAGCTCAGGCTGGAACTAAATACATCTTTGACACACAGAAAAAGAGGAGCCCCTCACAGTTTCAGCAAAAGGATGATGAACTGAGATCTGAACAGCATGGCGAGAAAGCCTGATATTCCAACATGCAGTTTATATCCATCCATTTTCTAACAGCTTGAGCCAGTGCAGTGTCACAGGGGCCTATCCTGGCCAGCGACGGGCGCAAGGCAGGGGAAACTCTGGGCTGGAGTCTAGACACAAACACGCACACACTCACACCAAGACCGATTCTCCCAGAAGCCAATTAACCTGCCAGCGTGTCTTTGGATTGTGGGAGCAAACTGGAGCACCCGGAGAAAACCCATGTAAAAAAGGGGAGCACACACAGACCGCAGGCAAGTAGGACTGTAGAAACTGAAGCCAGGGCCCCCAGCTAACCACTGCGCCACTGCGCAGCCCCAAAAAGGCACTTTACCACGAAGCTTGAGATTTCACGCACTAGCCTTTTCATGTACAAAGTCAACAACCTAATCTGCAATTTTGAGACTCTGCTATCAATTGAGGTAACATAAGCTTCCCAGGATCTCTTCATTCTTTACAAAGCGGGCTGATATCGCTCACACGTACACGGGAAAACAGAAGGGCAGCTCGAGGGCAGCATTTCAAACACTCCTTGGTGTGAGAACTGTAGGCGTGTTCAGTCACCTCATCGCCGTAACCAGATCTAAACCTGTCTGAGCGCTTCTGTATAAGATTTGACCAGAAAACAAATCTTCCTGACAAATCTGCCACAATGACAGGTCCTTTAAAAAACAACAAAACTGAATGCGGTCATTTGCATTTTATGTTAGTCCCCGTTATATTTTTGGCCATGCAGC